GTAATAAATCAAGAGAGAAGTAGAGTCATTTTCTCATAGACTTCTATTCAACCAGAGGAGTCGCCCCCTGCTGGACATGAAGTAGAATTCTGCATACAAGATAAAGAGTATTGTTGTCCGATGAGTAAAATCCATCTCTTTTACACCTGTACATATACATATATACATATACATACATATACAATTTCCCCACTTACTCCCAAGCATAAATATGTTGTCACTCCTTCATTTGTTCGGATGATTCCCCACATTAACCACAGGGAGCCCAGTTTGCCATTAATCATATGTGTCGCATGCTCTCCTGTGTTACTGTGCTCAGCTTTCTGCAGCTTTCATCATCAGCGTGGCGTCGCCTGCTGTGCAGATCTGTCTACAGCCTCTGAACTCTGTAAAAACAAATTAACTATTCTCCCAGTTCACACTCTGCATCAAACCCACTGCAATATGTTTCCATGAAGAGATATTAACAATGAAATAATAGTTTGAAGTCGTTTCACACTTCTTAATGGCAACGGGATATTTTCAGGGGACCAGATAGATTAAAGAGGTCTTAGAGCAGTGGTCGATATTAGATAGTGGTGGTGATGGGAACCGTTACATTAAACCCTGCCAGTGGCCTCTAGTGGCTTCAGCGTCCATTAAACCCGACAATAACCAAGTGCTGGATAGAACCAAACAGCATTTGTTTTTACTTTATTTTTAGGGCACTGATATACTGCAAAACAAACGCACTGTTTGTTCATCTACATGGTGATGTTTATACTATGCTGGGCTTTTACTGACGCCTACATGTTTCACACGTGTGCAGTTGGCACGTAAACGATTATACATTTGCCAAGACGGTTTCCAATGTGGCAACATGACTCACTTCTCACGGACCCTTTAAGCTTAGCTTTATAAGATTAGTGATGGCTCAACACATTAACAGAACGGCGCAATGGTTAATGTTAGTAGTCCCCCCCCCCCCCCCATGTGCTTTTTCCTACAATGACAAGTCAACAGCATGCTCTGGTTTATATGCCCAACAACCCCCAAAAAAGTGTCAGCACACATCTTTACCTCTCATGGAAATCTGCACACAATATTCAGTGTGTACGAGGTGAAGATTTGGCCTGAAAACAAGATGAAACGTCACAGAGTCACCAGAACCATAAGGAATCCACCGCATTCTACGTCGGGCAAAACCACGGATACGCTAAATGTCAAACTTCAAATGTCAAACCAGACTGTCCTCATACAGTGTTTGTAGCAACACCTACGACAATGAATGCGCTGCAAGTCATATATATCCTACAAAATCAATTCCTATGTACTCCACATAATCAGGAAGTATATTTGTTTCTGGCGACTGGGTTAAACTACATTTTGGAGTGTTGGACTGACCAACCGACAGCACCATACTCAGACCACACCAACTAACGTGGCAAAACTTTCACACATCACATCGCTTCAAAACATCAATATATCATAAAAACTCATAGAAACAGCATTCTCTAAGAGCAGCCCTCTCACTGGTGTTTATATCTGGATACAACACATTGCAAGTAAGTACAGAAAATGAAAATCTGAGCCATTACACTCTCAGAAATGACCGAAACCACAACAGCAGATACTGCCCGGCTCTGCCGACGCAGCATGGTTGAAGCTGAGTATCTCCTACTTACATCCCACCATCATCATGGCCACAGAGAAGATCTTCTCCCCGTCGCTGGTGGGGGCGATGTTGCCGAAGCCGATGGTGGTCAGGCTGGTCATGGTGAAATACAGCGAGGTGATGTACAGGGAGTCCTTGCCGGGGCCGCCCTCCCATCGGCCCAAGCCGCTGACGTTGTAGCGGTAAGGCGATCCGAGGCTGAGGGCCAGCTGGTAGAGCCAGCTGTCCCCCTTGATGGTGTTGGTGGCCTTGTCGATGACCTCGTAGTCTCCGATGCTGTACCTGTTGAGGACAACGTCTCAATCCGAGTACAAGACAGCAGAGCTTTGAGCAAACCGATGCATCTGGGTAAAAGTTTTAGTGAAACAAGCATTAAGATCCACTTGAAGAGCCGTTTGTTTACAGATCTTCTGATATCTTCCCTATTTATTCTATTGATTCAAAATATTTTACTTCAGCCAAGTCAAAGATTCATATTCTGTTCGATTCGAAAAAGTAAAGAGAAGTAAAACTGCAAAAATGACCGTAGACGCAGCAGAAATGCTTCTAAATGTTCTTGTTGCTGTTTAATGTTGGCGAGTATTGCACAATGAAGGAAGGATTTGAAAAATGGTGTTTGCTGTAGGACAGAAACAAATCAGCATATTACTCAATGTTGTATGAAGGAAACTCAACAAAGCAGCAGCAGATGTTTTGTAATGTACAGTACAGGTGGGCGGGGGGGAGGGAAGCAATGATTAGCATACAGAACCAATTAGGAACAGTTAGGAGGACGGGTAAACTCCCAGCAGGCACTTTTGAATTGGTGCTAAACTGTGAGGAAATGAGAGATCCAGAAGTGACAGTAAAAAACTGTTTACCAGATGCAGGCGAGCCAGTGAGCCACCAGTCCGAACACGCAGACCAGCAGCACCAGAACGGCAGCACCGTACTCCAGGTAGTGGTCCAGTTTCCTGGCGACCCGGCCCAGGCGCAGCAGGCGGACCACCTTCAGGGAGCTGAACAGACTGCTCATGCCCTGAGGGGAGAAAGGAGGGAGGGGAGGAGACAGAGGAGGGAGAAGGAGAGATGTGGGGGGTGGGTAGAGGATGAGTGAGAAACAATTACATTCCAGGTAAAACTCTGCTTTCTGTTGTGTGAAAAGTGAAGTTGGGCAACAAATGACGTTCCCACGCCCCGCCCCCTTCTAGTTCTGCACATACACTTTGTAAAAGGCCAATACACCGAAGGTAACTAGTAAATGTTGTGAAAATGCAGTGAATATTCATAACTATTTATACCTGCAGCAATGCTAATTTGCAACAGTTGCAGCACTTTGTCAATAAAAGGTTTGAATAGATTTCTGCAGGCAGAGGATCAACCAACAGGGATTTAGGCGGTTCATTCTGGTTCAGAAAAGTGAAGCCGATGCTTCATGTGTTAAAGCTGCATTCTCTCTAG